GGGGGGGGTGGGGGTGGTGGGTTTAGCCATTTTTTAACTTGGGGAACCATCTGGGCATCACTCTACCCACTGGAGGTGGCGAGTGGCTGCCTTTTCATCACTTGTTTTGCTTTCTTCTCTCTTCCACTTATCCTTCACTTATTAATTCAGTTTGGTTTATCTTGATCTCCAAGTTTCCTTGGTTTTATTCTTCCCTTCTCCTTCCCACCGTGGATGGAGGGAGAAGTGCAGGAGCAGCTGTGTGGTGCTTACCTGCCCACCGGGTTAACCCACAACAAAATGTATTTTGCCAATCTCAAACAGTTTCTCAGATTTAGTACCACAGGATATAACCATTTGCTACCTCTCAGACACAGAGGTAGAAATTATTTTCTGCTGCTGTTTTACTGATTCACTTCCTGAAATTAGCAAGCTTCAAAGTTAATTGCACTGTTGAAAAAATCCACTTTAATTAAACTGCATATTACTGCAGTGAGGCTGAAACCCACCAAATTTACACAAAGAAAACCAAAACAATGCATTCAAAGAAAAATGAAGCAGCCGTCATTCACATCTACTACTGCAAGACTGTAGAGAGGAAAAAAAGTAATTATTTTCTAGGCTTATGACCTCACTGAACTTTCATTATTCTAAAGAGATTAAATCAGTTTTTTTTACCTTGCCACAGTGAAATTATCTGGAGGCAAAAGCCGAGCAAGTTGAATGAAGATGTGATTGAGAGAAGCGCAGAACCCGCACCACTGTGCGTAATAGAGCAGCAAGACATTCTGTAAAACGGAACAGGGAAGAGTTCTGTTGCAGTTAATTCATAGTTAATCTGTTGTAGTTAATCTGTTGCAGTTAATCTGCAGTGAAGGAGGACAAGCCTTCACAACATCTAAAACGTGGAACCTTAAAACATGAAAGGAAACTATATCCTAATGTTAATATAAGCTCGTTACTGATGTTCTCTGTCTACTGAGTTAACCCACAAGTTTAGGATCATTGCCTTTAAGTGAAAATGCACCAAACTCTACTACGCTTCCCAAGACTCTTGCAATCTCAAATTCTCATGTTTCTAACAGTGACTTGGTATGTCATACTGGGGCTGGGGGGTTGGGAAAAAATCATGTCTAGACTTCTGCTTTTTGCCTTTACCTAGGCTGCTGGAAACCAGTTACTGCAGATGCATATGGTCACTGCAGACCTCAAAGATAATCGATATTAATCCTTACTATCACATCTTTAAGAAATCAGAGTAATTTAGCTACTGTTCTGGATGAAAAGTTGTAGTGTATTTATTTCCTTTGAGGTATGAAACACAGAAATCAATGTTACTCAAGCCCCATACATTTAGCATGTGCTCCTGCTACAGTGGAAGAAAAAGGCCACTTTAAAAAAAAAAAATATATATATATTTCAAACACACAGGAAACACCCACACCCCCCTCCCCCAGGAGAAAAACCAAAAACCAATCCTGAAAAACCCAACAAACCTTGAACCATGGCAGAAACCTGTCAGGGAACTAGTTGCTATAACTTTTTATTATTTTAACCCTAGAAGTTCTTACCCAGATTCACTTAAGATCACACTATTCCAAACTGCTTTTAAAAAAAAATACGTTTGAATGGTTACAAAGTCACAACTTTTGTTACAAGTAGGCAAAGCAATCAGTGTAAGAAAATAAGGAGAGCCCTTCCTCAGAAGTCTAACCGGTGATTTGCAAGACCTTTTCAGCAATGAGGTGTACCTTTTCACTCAAAAACACAGTGTCGTGAAAGGTAGTCGTGGTCACTTCAGTGATTACACGCTGCTCACCAACATGGACTGAGGAGTCATCAACAAGGTGCCTTTTCAAGGGACTGTAGAGAACGCTGAAATTTTTTATGAAGTTCTCTGAAATGAAATTGATACATAACGAAATTATGTCGGTCTCATAATTGTGTGATTTGGGCAGTTTTTACTTTGGAATTCACCAGAACTTACCAAGAAAATACAAATTCAAACCTTATTTCTGTCAATAATTCTTGACAGTTGTGTATCAACTCCTGAGCAACCACCACTGATGTGAACACAAGATAAAATTTCACTGGTTTTCTGGTTTGCTCATTACAGACTTTTTACCTGCCACGCTACTCTCCAATCCTGCTTCTACTCCTGTTCGATGCACTATAACCATTCTCTTCCTTCCTAACCTAGCCACATACCTGCTCAGTCTTAAAATACTATCCTCTCACTATTTTTCACTTTCTACATCACATTCAAGTATTTGGCCCTTATCTTAAAGTCTCCACTTAATCCCACATTTATTCTTTCATTTTTAATTCCTTTCCCTGTAACCCTTTTGCTTTAGAGCTTTAAAGACTGTGCTATTCCCACGCGAACATGACCATCTGCTTTTTGTTTACCAGTGACCACCTTCCTCCTCATTCAACTGTCTCCTTGGTTTTAAGGTATTTAACAAGCAGCAGCCAGTGGTAGAACTTTAAAACAGGCTCCAAAGCCCTGAGCTACCTTCAGCTACACTGCTCTGAGCCTGGACCATGTTCCCTAAACTGCTGCAAGGTACCAACTCTATCCTTCTTTTCCATTTAGATAGAAATATTATTCAACGCATTATAAAGTAAGAGTATTCAGCAATCAAGACAAAAGATATAATAACAGACACACTGAAAATAATTATTTGAAGAAACAGAAACACGTTGTGCTGGTATTTCCAGTACAAAAACTAGCTCCAAGTAAAACTGTCACTTTTGTGCCTACATAAAAGATACCAGATCATCAAGTTGACCTGAAATACAAACTGCTGTACATGTAATTTTCTATTTACTACTCAGCATTTCAGTAAATTCTCACACCAGACCAAACCAGGTTTTTTTCTTTCTAGACCTCCAGATTTGGAGTATCTCCACATGAGTAAATAGTAACTAAAAAGGAAGGGCTAATTAAATGACATACTCCTGAATTTTTCGGAACTATTTGCAAAAACCAAAATATGTTAAAAGTGTTAAATACAAGTCTGTTTCATTATTTTAAAATATCAAAAGTTGGGAGGCTTAAGGAAGTAAAATAAAATTTTAAAAAACCCACAAAACCCCAACATTCACCACAGTGACTCCTTGACAAAATACACAGAAGCAAAAACCTTCTGGACATTCAAGTGACTTGGAACAGAAATATACCCAGTGTTACTCAGCAGGGAAACCCTCACCATGCCCAGGAAATCTGGTGACCTGAAAAAAGTTTGAGACAAAAGTACTGGGAGCAGAAAGGGGAAGGAAGTTTGTATCTCCTCACTCTAATCTTCAGGTTTCCTAAGCATCCTACTGGGGTTTTTGTTTATTTTTCCAGAGTGGGGGGTTGAGATGGAGAGGATACAGGGCTGGGTGGGATCCTTAATGTGAACATGGCCATTTTTTCTCGTGTTATGCATACTTTTGTACTTACAGATTTATGGCAAAATGGAAGTGTAATGTAATTAATAAGAATTATATTGAAATAACTTCTTGAACAATTTATTTTAGTACTATATTCACCTGAATTTACCTCCACGTTTACTTACACCGCTAAGATTAAACCACCCTGCACTTTCTGAAGGTGGACTCAGGTTTGCACATCATCACGATAGGTAAATGCAGGTGGACAGGCATATGTTGGGTCTTATTCAGTAACTTGAAAGTAATCAGAACTGTGATCATGGGTTTGGTTGTGTTTTGGGGTTTTTTTAGTTCTCCCCTCCAGGAAATAGGAGTACTGACAGATTTGGCCAAAACCACATCAGAGCTGTACCTTGAAAACACACAAGTTTCAGAACGGATTTTCTGTAATTTGTAAGTAGGTTTCAGGGTACGAGAGAAAGCGCTAGTCTCTGCTGATACGTGGGCAGTACCTCATGAAAATCTGGCATATTTTAATACACAGAAAAGCTGAGCAAACCCCACCATCACCATTAATACAGAATTTCTTCTGTAATACCGAGTGTGTTGGACTCACAGTAATTTGTTTTCCCCACAAGTGAATCAGCTGAGATTTTACCAAGTCCTTCAACGCATCAGGCAGTCAAGAACCACGCATCCTGAGGTTCAATTCTTTTAAACCAAATTACTTTTGCTGTGTGAATCTTAGTTCTTATGTCATCTAGAATACAATTCTACTGCTTGGTTAACAACTAAATAAATTAGAATAGAATGAATTATGATTCACAAGGCTGACTATAGTATCACTTTAAAAGCAGTCACTTTCGCCATTCACAGCCTACTTGCAAGCTTAATTTTCGTAGTTCACACATTTGGATAGTGGATACCATACCCAGGGTAGATCCAACAAGTGACTGATTTTGATCCAGGATGTAGTGCACTTCTTCTTTCAGGTCAACAATGGCAGCAAATTCCTTAAGATGAGTAGACCGTGATGCTCCTAGTCTCTCTGCGTATATCCAAAAAAGATTTGAATCCAGCAGATAGAGATTCAAGGTTTTGTTGGTCCTGCAGCTCAGACCAGTAATATTAGTGCCACTAATCTGAAGGTCAGGAATAAAACAATTCCTATCCTCAATATGAGGAATAGAATGCTGGGTGTTATCTTTCTTCCCATGGGAAGAAAATGCTACTTTGGGGGTCTGAAAGATGGTCTTCTCAGAACTAATTAAACTTAAAAAATGCCTGTTTACCGTCCTGCAACATGCAGTGTAATAGCTAAAGGGACTATAGAAACTTAAGAAATTGCTGCATTCTATGGTATTTGATAAAACTTGAAAAAAGGTATGTTCCTGGAGGTAGAAAGAGTCCAAAGCTGCTTCTATCTCTAAAAAGTTACAGTGTGGCACATGGACTTTATTTGGTTTGACACCAAGCGTCTGGTTAATGCAAAGCTCACAGACATTGTGAGTTCTAGATATTGAATGCCACTGTGGAAGCACCACTGTGTTACAGCATGGGTACTTGGTTATCGAAAACGTTTCTGAGAGTTTCCCATGTGCATCTAGTACAGAGGAATCAGAAGCTGGTGAATCAGTGTCTCCCAAGTCTTGAGGATCTGGCTCAGCTGCTGGGCTTTTATTACAGTTGTGGTATTCCAAGGCCACTTTGGTAATCTATGAGAGGGGGGAAGAAAGAAGAATTAACTGTACATAGTTCACCCAAATGCAGTTATCTGTTAGAGGTTTAAGAACATATATGCAATTAGAAATAGTATTTCAGAAACATGAAGTTGACTACCCTTCTCCATTCTCACAAAAAACTATAGGAGGCTCTGACTTGACAACAAAGTTAAATTTTGTTAGGATTTTCAGATCCTTCATCATGTAAGAATTAAGTGTGCGGAACAACAAAAGGACACTGAACGTTTTTTCCCCAACCACCACATGGACCTCAAGGTCCTCTCTGCATCATATTTATCACAGTGCAGTAACACTACATTTTAAGGTTACGTCTCAATACATGAAGCATTAACCAGTGCAGGTTCCTCAATTTCCCTTATTTTCCAATATGAGGAGAAAATAAATATAAACATTATGAGAAGAAACCACAAACAGGAAACGAGATTTGCCATACAAAAATCTCACTTCAGTGAGCTACGATCAGAAAAAACATTTTGCTCTGAGAGCTTTCGACATACAGCCTGACGGCCTTGCTCTTCCAACTGCCTGACAGTCAAGTGGTGTCACTGCCTGATGAAACCCACAGGACAGCTGCAGTACACATCTCCTCCTGTGGTAAACAAGTTGCATAATGTCTTTCTATCAAAGTGAAGCTATACAAGATCAACTGGAATATTTGCTAACTATATCAAATGTGAAATAAGTAGTCTAATTTACTAGAATGAAATCTGAAATGGAATATCTTATGTTGCACTAATTTGACCTAAATAAGAGATCATTGTTACTAGAGTGTTTAATCTGTGACAAGCACCACTACGTTAAGTCTGCCAAAAATCAGGTTAGTACAAGAACAATTGTTGTTCTTTTCCAGCCTTCCACTAAGATTTCCCCAATCCTACCTTGTAGCAATCTAGCTTTTACTGTGTCTATTTCTAGTTTGGTTGAATATTGTATCGTAAGTGGTTTTCATGTTTCTCCTCATTGCTTCAGACACTGCAATATTGATTAGGCCCCTGTGGAAACCACACATTCCAGGGGACAGATGCTGAGTATCTAAGTCAGCACCGTGACCAAAACTCAGCCCTGCTTTTCATCTTCCACAGAGGCTTGTTTCTTGTTCCACACTGTCCTTAGTGCCATGTGATCACTGCTGTGACATGCAGCTGTGTGACATATTAAATGGGACAATGGGTTCCTGCTG